GGCGGGAGGCGCCGCCGTAGACCACCCGCTCCGCCCGGGAGGCGAGGAAGGCGTTGGGGAAGCAGCCCACCAGGCGCCGCACCGCCTGCCGGAAGGGGGCCGGCGCCTTGGTGTCCACGTGGACGCAGTAGACATTTTGGGGCATGTACACCGCCCTGAAGAGCCGCTCGAAGGTCTCAAACTCCTTGTGCAGGGTCATGACGTAGGCAATGGGGAAGGCGGCCTCCTCGGCTGAGAGGGCGCGGGTGATGTAGTGGTTCTGCGTGATGTACTCCGTGCAACTGGATTCTCTGAATGACGTTTTTAAAGCATTTTCCTTCAGAAAGGGTGCCTTATCTTCAATAAGTGCTTTACATGCTTCTGCTAAAGTTGAACTCACCGAGAAGTTCAGCCTCCTAAGACATTTTTGCGCATGCAAATTAACAGCATAGAAAACAAATGGAAGTGAAACACTGAGAATCAGAACAGCGAAGAAGCAATATCTGAGTGTATTCATTGTTGCTCAGAAAAAGAGTCTCACTTGAAATATTGCAAAGAGGTCAGGTCAGACACCACGAACAGCTTGTTTTGCTGGCTGCACTTGCTTCCTGCTGGAGAATGCTTGCATCCATCTGATGCGTAAGTATACAGCTGCTGTCCTTACTCTCAGTATTCATAGTTTCCCAGTCATCATTGATGTGGAAGCAGCATAAGTAGTGAACAACAACAACTGCCTCACAGCACCCTGAAGATTAAACAGACATACTGCATAATTACTGGCTTGGCAATGAACAGCCAGCACTACATATTTCACAGTGTCCCTGAATTCAGTGTAGGGGTGTGATCTTAACTGCTCCCTCCCCACTCTCCCTGCAGGTATCACATAGCTGTAAAACTTCCTGTGTGTGCACCCTGTTCCAGGAAAACCTCATATTTACCTCTTGTATAATTCTATTCTTTTACTTACAGGAACTTTTTTTCAACCACCCAAGTGTATCAGTCATCACTGCTTCAGAATTATGAAAGGCTTGTTCAGCACACTGTGCTACCATGTAAGGCCACCAACGCTCACATATAAGAAGGTGGAGAATCTTTTTTGCCTCTGTGTAGAATTATATCAGAGCCATCATGTTTTTGCAGCAATGTTTTCTTCATTTGTAAATTTGAAATCTGCCAAATAGTTTCTGCTAAGTGTCATGGATGAGTTGTGATGAGCTCCGGGCTTACATCCATCAGAAAGAACTGGGTTAGTGAAACCTGCTATTTAAACTACTTAAGCTAACCTTAGGCTTTCTGATGAGACATTCTTGTTTCTAAGAGCGGTGCATGCATTTGGTATAACAACATGTTTATGCAATAAGAGCTTGTGGCATGGCTCTGACTAAAGTGAAATACTTGGTAACTCTCTCTTCCAACTGTGAGTCTGTTCATGTGGATCTCCTGCCATGAGACAGCACATTGGGGCATATAAACTTTTTCCAACATCATGTCCTTTTGTTCCAGTGCAAAGTAATGCTGAGGCAATATCAGATGATCTGAGATTATGCCAATAAATGTTTTGACTGGGCAGTCCAGCATGCTACAGAGGCAGAAATACTGTCACCTACTTTTCAACTCATGCAGACAAGTCACCTCAGGCGCTGGCAAGCCCCTCCTAGACGCTGCACTTTCCTCCCATCCTGGTCCCAAAAGTTTCTGGGATTCTCTGTTCAAACAGATTGAAGGCTGCAGGCAGTGGGTTCAGCCCATCAGGTACAGTCACAAGCTGTAATAAGGAGAGGAACACTGGAGAAGCTTTGTAAGGCCATGTGGCCAGAATGTCCCCCAAAAGGGGCATCGGCGCAGGACAGACCTGGCAGTCAAGCTTACCTGGAGATGGCAAGCAGCAGAGCCGCTCCTCACCAGGGAGTCAGCAGGGACAGGCAAGGATAGCTGTGGTCACGCTGGAGATCCAGTGCAGCCTTCGGTGTGGACATCTTCAGAAGGAGGACGGCTCTGATGGATCTGAGGAGCTGGAATGGAGGTGTTCAAAGTCCCAGGGAGTAACAGAGACTCACCTGATGCTGCTGAGAAGTCATCTGGAAAATGCAGCCACAGCCCAACAGTACAACATGTTAAAAGCAGATTCAGAGAGATGAGAAGACGCTGAGCTGACACCACTATCCAAGCCGAGCCAAGAAATGCACAGCAAACACAACCCTGAGGGGTAAACATGTCCCAGCTCAGTCACCGGGGAATGGTGTCCTAGGGAGCAGAGATTTGCCTGGAGTGCTTCAAACCACTGCTTCTTCCTATTTTGATTGTTACAGTGAATTATATCCAGGAGCGAACAACACTCACCTGCCTGACACCTCAGTACCATAAACTGCCATGACCATAGGTGACTATACGGCCAGCAGCCTCTTGCTCTCCTTTGTGCACTCCATAGACCACTGAGTTCAGCTTCTCCCCATCTGCTCACTGGGCCAGGTGGCTGCAAGACCATTTCTTCCCCTGTGCCGTGGTCCTAACATAAGACCTCCATCCAACTGGATTTAGGACAATGTGGAAGGAGAAAAACCAGGGGCAGGTGCCCACATTCCTGCAGGAGTCAGGAGTTCCTTGAGGGAGTCTCAGTGGAGGGCAGAGAGCACAGGTAGCTTTTCCAAAGTACCAGAGGCTGAGGTCCTCCAAGACATTTAGATGCCTTTGAAACTGTCTGCTCAGAGGCTTTTGAAACTGTTTTAGGCACGGTGTAACCTGCTACACAGCTAGGAAAACTTTTAAGGACTTAAAATATATATATAAAAGAGAGAGAGAGAGAGGTATCTTTCTCTCTCTCTAAGGAGACTGCTTTCTCTTAGGTGTTAAGTTTGCGTTACCAGTGTGGTCCATAGCCAACAAGTAAGCTACATGCAGAAAACAAGAGATAGACCTGCTCATCATGAGAGTGAAATGCAAGATTTAACTTTTCCTTGGTGTGTTTTGTTGTGCTGTGTTGGTTTTTTTTTTCTTGCACAGACATTGCTGCAACACCCTTGCAGCAATCCAGCCTAACCATGATCCTTTGGTCTGGAGAAGAGGAGGCTGAGGGGAGACCTTATCACTCTCTGCAACTACCTGAAAGGGGGTTGTGGCGACAAGGGTGTTGGCCTCTTCTCCCAAGTAACTAGCGATAGGACAAGAGGAAGTGGCCTCAAGTTGCGCCAGGGGAGGTTTAGACTGGATATTAGGAAAAATTTCTTCACTGAGAGAGTGGTCAGGCATTGGAACAGGCTGCCCAGGGAGGTGGTGGAGTCGCCATCTCTGGAAGTGTTCAAAAAACGTGTGGATGTGGCACTTCAGGACATGGTTTAGGGGACATGGTGGCGCTGGATTAATGGTTGGACTTGATGATCTTGAAGGTCCTTTCCAACCTAGTGATTCTGTGATTCTGTGATTCTGTGATACTAGCCTGCAGGGAAAGAAGGCTGCGTGCTTGGTGCTACTTCTTAATCCTGGTGCCTCGATCCTCTGGCACAATTAGTATTTAAAAACCTGAAAACATACATGCAAATGATTGCTGTGGAAAACCAAGCTCTCAAAACCTCTGGTTGCTTTTTTTTTAATAGTTCTACCTTGTGCTAATCTCTGTGAAATACGATCCATGCCTTGGATTATAGGCAGAAATAGCACCAAAAAAAATAACACAGCAAAACAAAGAAATAGAGTATACAAGTCACATGAGCCACCTCCAATGGAAAAACTCTTTCTCAGATATTGGTGAGATATTATGTTACATAATTACATATAATATTGATATTACAGAGTCATCTGAAGTTCAGATGCAAGGACCAGCCAAATTGAGGTGTGGATCTGACACATATTATGGCAAATGTCAGTGAAAAAGCATTAAGGTGGCAGGAGACCTCATGATACCCATTTCTTCTCCTGCTGTGGATTGCATTGGACCTCAGGCTATTTTGAGTGCAAAACCAGAGTTACTGGACAAAAAGATAATAGAAGATCAAATTTACCATGCTATTCAACAGAGACTGTGTAAGAGGGGTTTGTGCTGGTAGAACTAAAACTGTTGCTGACTGAGACTTGCAGTGTGGCTCCTTTCTATTGCTCCTTGGACCTGCATTGTAGAATTTCTCGGTTTAGCATGAGAGGAGCTTTTGGTGTGGCTCCAGCAGTGGAAACACACTCCCCAGTAGGATTAGCAATTGAAATGGCTTCCCTGTGGATGAATGTGAGCAGACCTTTCCAGAAAACGAGGATATTATCTTAGGAATGTAGTTAGTAAACTGCTCCTGGCCTTAATAAATATAGGTAAATGGTTTCAGCTAATTAAAAAGCAAGATGCACAGGCTTTGCACACCGCTTTTGAGTTCCTGTTTGGCCTTGCTTGGTAGCGACAAATGTTGTGCGTTTCATGTCTGTTTGGAGTCGCTCGGCATTTTCTATTCTATTGTTAGGACAAAACCATCTGTATCATGACATTCCTTTTCATGACCCTCATGTGCAAAGCTCTCAGTTTGAACTGGCACCGTTGTTAAAATCACAGCAAGACTGTTACGAGCAAACAATTTCATCTCCGTGTGTTTTTTCTTGCTAGGAAGCACAGGTAGCCACAGTCCGCTGTTTTGTGCCACGTAAAGGATCTCCTCATCCCTCACACCTTCTTGCACCAAGATGAAACTTCTCTGGCCTTGCGCTGCTCTGGGATGTCGTGCAATGTGCACGGTCTCCCTGAAACTCTCCTCTTGGAGCAGCCCTGCCTGGCAGCAGTCTTCTCTAACATGTGCCTTGCTCACATGCCCCGCCTGAGCTGGAAGGTCTATATGTACTGTATAACACAGGGAAAAGAGAAAGCAGAGTCTGAGTGCAGGAACAGTTAAAGTTTATTCCGATCTCTTCTCCTCTGCCCACCGTTTTTCCTGTTCAGAGCAGTCCCTGCCATTCCCGCACGTCCCAGCCAGCCATAATCTGATTATTCAAAGAGAAGAAAATACAAGCCTACCTGAAACAGGAGCTCCCAGGCAGACGCAGTGACACCGGACAGTCACAACGCAACAGCGCTGGCAGCAGATGGGAGGAGAGATGAGATGACACATCAAGGCAAATGCTAGCTCAGCTCACATGGTCCAGTAAAATCATGGAGTAATCTAATCGTACACAGTCAGTGAGCACATCTGTCTGCACAAAGAGCAGGGGCCAGGCAACGCTCCATCTCATCCGCTTTTGTCTTGCAGTGCGCTCACGCTCCAGACGCAGAGCCCCTTACACTGCAGGAACTTCACTGCTGTCTGCGTTTGCGGTAGGCTTTTAGCTGCAAAGGTTTCAGGAATAGGTAAGCTGCCTAGTCTCTAGCAGAGCGCATTTTGCAAGTCAGACCCGCTACTGGTCCAAAGCGGAGCGCTGTACTGCTCCCTTTTCCAATTAATTTCCAACA